TCAACATTCACAAAGTTTCTATCCAGGACATTTCTGGAATATTTTTTGTCAGGTTTCAGTTCTCTGGCCTTTTGTTAGGTTGGGCCTGGACATGAGCGGATCCAGGATTTACTAGAAGGGGGTACAGCACACCACCCCCCAGTATGGAGCAGGGCAGGAGAGGCTCTGGGGCTCCCCTCTCCACAGATTAGCCAGGGAAAGCAGTGGTGGAAAGTTGTTGCAACTGCACTGCTGCACCCGCCTGGACCTGCCCCTTGGTAGGGATCAGAATTTGTTTCTGATTGTCCTGGCACTGATCTCAGCATCTGGATCCACAGGGTATTTGTCTGATCTGTCAGTTCTGCTCACCGTGCATTTCTGATTTTTTCAAACTCCAAATCTTTTACCTTGCTTTGGCAATTCTGGATCTGCTGTGCTACATTATAAGTATTAGATTTCTCATTCTATAATGCTGACAGTTTCTTCAGATATGCTGTCTTTTCAAATCCTAGCCAAATACAGACATATTTAAGCTATTGCCTCAGATGTAGATACAGTTAAGGCAAAAAGAGCTAGTACCTTTTAAAAAGCACTGAAAAAGAAAATCTAAGCCAACTGTAGGTCACCACTATATCAAGGGATGTTAGCTTGGGGCTCATATATGCAGTGTTTTAAATGACTCTTGAACTGAATGGAAGATTTGTTTCTGCTTTCATATTAACAATTATCAGGGGCTTCATATTAAGTTTTCTTAGAACTTCTGAGAAAAACTAAATCATTTTACAAATCAAAAGAATCAGCAATGAGTCACTAACAAATTGAGGCACTGGGAATTTATTAGGAATAACTTAACTGGGAGGAGCTAATACACTTCTACCCAGAATCTCCAGCTATACATTGGTTTCTGAGAAACAGCCTCCAAATTCTATCCTACAGTATTAGGAACTAATATTTTAAAAAATATGGATTGGATTTTCAGATGTTCCATTCCCCACAACTCCAAAATTAATGGAGTTAACTGAAAATCAAGGCCTAGTGGAATTTTTTTTGGAAGTGGGATCCCAAAAAATGAACATTAATGATGGTCTTCCATAAACAAAATGTTCTTCTGATGAAGAATAGAAAGGTGGGGCACACCTGGGTCTTTAGTAGGGTCACAACCTAAAATATGGATTAAGAGAGTTTACTGATCCAATTGGCAGATGACAAAACTGGGAGGGACTGCATACATTTTGGAAGAAAGGAATAAAAGTCAAAGGAATCTGAAAAAATTGGAAATTTTGGCTATAGACAACAACATGAAATTGAACACAGACATATGTAAGGTGCTACCCATAAGGAGGAAAAACTAAATAGCAACTTACAGAATGGGGGATAAACTAGGTTAGCAGCAGGACTGCTGAGAAGGAACTGGAGTTTATGGTGGATTGCAGATTCAACATGAGTCAGCTACATGATCCTATCACACAAAAAGGTGATAAAATTCAGGGATAGAGTACCATTTTCCTCAGCACTAGCTAGTCCTCAGCCGGAATACTGTGTCCAGTTTTGGACACTGGATTATAAAATATATGCAGAGAAGTGGAGAGAATATAGAAGTGACCAATAAAGATGATAACGAGCTTGGAAAGCAAGCCATATGAGGTAAGGCTTAAGGAATTAAATATGTTTAGTTTGGAGAAAAGGAAAATAAATGAGGAGAACAAGATACAGTATAACCTCATAAATCTGGATCTCAAAAATCTGGAATTCTTGAAAATCCAGCACTTTTTGAGCTGCCCCTCAGACGTGGAGGGAGAAGTTTGCATGTGGCAGCTGCTGCCACCATTCACCACCCTGTTCCACATGCAGCCACTGCTCTGGGACCTGCCACCACTACCTCCTCCCCACCCCGCTCCGCAACTGGCCACCACTCTAGTTTCAAAAAACCGGAATTTTCAAATTTCCAGATTTATGAGGTTATAAGTTTTCAAATAGTTGAAAGGTTGCCATAAAGAAGATGGAGAAACATTGTTCTTTCTTGCAGAGGGCAGGACACATCACAATGGATTTAAACTGAGGCAAAAGCAGATTTAAATCATATTTCCAGAAAATCTTCCTAAATGTAAGAACAGGAGGACAATGAAACTAGCTACTTGGGGAAGTAGTGAAATCTCCTTCCTTCCTCGCAGGTTGTCAAGAATAGGCTGGATAAGCATTTGTCTGGAATGATTTGTCATGGATTGCTCCCTTCGGATGAAGCTCTGCCTCAGAACTCCCTAAGAAGAATACTTATTCAGTCTCCCTCCTTCAGGACCCCTGGAAACCAGCCCTGTCATGGCTTCTCGAGGGGCAAGCCTCTAGCTTGAGACCCTGGCTCCTCTTTGTCCCTGGTTTCCCCCGTGATCCATAGCATCCCCACCTCAGAGAGCTCCTTCTTTGATCAGCTCCTGGAATGATTCCTTCTTCAAAGTTAGAGGGCTGACCCAAACAGCACAGTAGACTGTTAAACTACAGAAAAACAGTCTTTATTGTGCCACTGCAGTTCTTCTGCCTTCCTTAGACTCTGCTCTCTCCTCCTGGGGACTATTCCTTTCTCTCTCTGTCCTCCATGGGATTACACATTTCTCTCTCCAGCTCTCAGAGCCTTTCTCCTCCAGCACAGTCTGCCACCTTCTCCATAAAACTTACACAAAACTATAGTATTAACCTGGAGACAACATGCACCTGATACATTTAAATATAAAGTCAACAGGGACCAATCAGGGTGCAATCTGTGCTCTGCTGCCAGGCTCAGACTCTCATCTTCCCCTAGGGTGATAGGCAACTAGATGTCCTACTTACAAAACTGTTTACAGCAACTATTTACATCAGTGATCTCCAACCTTTTTAGGTTGATCACTTTTGAAATTTAAAATGAACGGAAGACCTACCCCCCACTCCCCACACACACACAACCCAGCAGGTAAGTCTGTGGGGAGGGGTGGAGGGAGGAGAGAAGGCCATGGGGAGGGCAGGGCAGATTGAGGCCCCAGCCCTAGCCCCACTCCATCTCTCACTGCTGGGGCCTTGATCTGCCCCCTCCACACACACACAACAGCAGTTAGGGAGGGGCAGGCCCTGCACAGCTGGGGCAGGGCGGGGGATGATGCTGTGAGCAGCTCATCCAGGGAGCATGGGGGGAAGGGAGGGTACACATACCCCAAAATCTACATATGAGGTGGGCTGGGCTGGGGCTAGGGCAGTGCCAGGCTGTTCCTAGCCAGGCTGCACTCAAGCCAGTTACCTGCGGCGGCAATTCTGGGAGCAGGGCCACAGAGGGGGGCCATAGCCCCCCAATCCCTGGTCCCAGTGCCACCACTGAGCACAGAATGGGCCAGGTCTGGCGGGACAGTCTGGTGCAGCCTTCCAGCCTATAGCTCTTTCCCCCGCTCCACCCAGGCTGCCACTGCAAGCTGAGCTTTGCACCCCAAGCCCCACTGCACATGCCCCCTGGGCCTCCACCCCTTTCCTCCCCTACCAACTGACCTGTTGGGCTTGGGAGGGGTGGCATGCGCATGCATGCATGCACTCAGCCCCCACAGCCCAGGATCAACTTCAAGAGGCTCCAGGATCCACCAGTCAATCCCAATCAACCAGTTGGTGACGAATGATTTACATCAACACTTGCTCACCTTGAGCCCTGCAAAGGGTTCCTCACAACAACTTCAGGTTGGAACTTTGCCCACTTGACTTTGTCAATTTACAATTAGCAACTATTATATTTGTACAGGAGCTGAACTAGATTACCCCTGAGTTTTCTTCTAATCCTATGATTTTTTGCTTCAAAGGCTAAACAATACCTGGAGTGCTCACATTTTTACTGACCTCCCTGACAGTTTTTCCTTGGAAGACGTCTTCCCTGTACACCAAGAAAAACTAATCCCCTAACCTAGGGGTCAGGGATCTTTCACTAACAGCAGGCTGAGTTAACATGGCTGAATCCTAAGGCAAACTGGAGATGGTAACTGTTAGGTATTCCACCACTAGATGAGGCATTCTGGGACAAAACCTATTAATAGTGGGAAAGATTATATCCATTTTTAGCATGCTTGGTGAGCCAAATAAAATCTCGTCACAGGCCAGATCCAGCTTGTGGGTTTTAGGTTTCCAACTCCTGCCCTAACCTGTTGCTTCATTTCATTGATTCTATATGTCTAATGAACTACACATAGTTTGCAGTAGCCACTAGCTTTGCCTGTCCTCCATGTACAGTGTGCTATATTTGTATGCTTCATGCTGTCATCTTCCTTTTTCTCCTCTCCTCTAGTAAGGCAGCCAGGGTTGCTAGACTCTTACTAGCTCACTTAACTGATTCAATCATTTTTTTTTTTTTAGTGCACCCTCTAGTCTGGCCAAAAGCTCGTATATCAAATTAATCAGAGTTTCTTTTGTTACCTTCCTTCTCCAGAAATTGAACTTTAAATGGAAATGTCCACAAGTGCGGTGCATTGAAAAAACACAGCCACAACAACAATTATTATAAAATAAAATCCACACCCATTTCCATGCTGAAGCAAATCCTTAAAACATGCTTAAAATGCAAACATTCCAATTTAACCAGAACAAAATCACAAAGAAAAGAACGATGATTCTCCACAGAGCCATGAATAGGGTTGGTATCTGAGATAGACACATATCAAACTTCAGGGAACACGCTGGAATTCAGGGTCAATTATGAACAAAGCCTCTTTTCTCCAACACTATATCTCAGCTGAGTTCTTGAACATTTTTCATCACTAAGTATATGTTAAGGGTTATGTTAAAATAAGAAAACCTTTTGGCAGCTGGAGTCTGACTATAGCACAATTCCCCATTATGGACCTAATCCAAAACCCAGTAAATTCAGTGTAATGACTTCCATAGAATTCAATACGGTTTTAGTCAGGCCCCAGCTCTGGCTATAATAAATCAGTCAATTAGATGAGAAGCTGTGGTCTGTCAAACAGCAATGGACTACAGAGACATGACTGGTCACATGGAGTTGGCTCTTCCCCTTTTTCTTTTCTAGCCACTAGGCCTTATTTAAAAAGAACTGCAAATGCCATATTTTCTTGCATAAAACACATATATGGCTTTCCCCCAGGCCAGCTGGGGAAAATTAGTATGTGCATTACACATGAGAAATACAGATCCCAAGGGATCCAAACATTTGGCAGTGAGGAAGTGGTGACAGCATTCATTTCCATGACTCCCTGAGCCACAGTAATGCATGCTGCCACCACTCCCCACTGCCAAATTTCTGGACCTCTGAGGAACTCCCTGGCTGGATGACATGGGCCCATGCACCAGATCAGGTTAGCACACAGGGTCACTCAGTGAGCCCCAGATCTCATAGAATAGACTGCACTGATGTGTGGGGGGAGTGGGGGTACAGAGCCAGCATGCGGCCTTAGACCTGGCACATGGGCCAGACATGGCAGGTTGGATCAAGCCAGCACGTAGGGTTGGACTCAGTGTTCCATGCTGGGTGTGTGTTATGTACTTGGATTAGGCACACGCTGGATCGTGGGCGGGCTATATGTGAGAAAATATGGTTTACTGCTTTGCTATCATTACTTCCCTAAACAAGCAGTTGCTTTAGTTGCCTGAAGAATGTTATGTGATCATGATTGGCAATGAAAGTGGTCCATGCAATAGTGAATTGGCAGAAGGCAGTGCCACAAGATAATCTATTAAAAAGGGACCTCCACTACAAATAAGTTAAAGAACCCCTGAATTAGATGAATATCTAAATGAGATTGCTCAACCTAACTTAACTGGCTGAAATATATTACTAGCATACAACCAGTGTAAAACTACTATTCTAACCCCAGTATGGAAACAAGAGGATGTTGTTAAATTCAATAGTCAAGATGCACATTTATTAGTTTGTTATGAGTGACAGCTTCAGGATGTAATTAGTATATGCAAACACTAGCAAGTAACAGACAGGGGTCCGATTTTCATGGTAGCAGTAAAACCTGCACAACATACCCCCTTAGTCACTGCCCTCAGCCCTTCCCCCCGCCCAGGGAGGTAGAGCTGTTGGCTGAAGATTTCTTCAGTTCTATTTTCATTGACTGAGTCTCGGCACGAGGCTCGAATTTTGTCACATTTCCTGCTCCTGGGGCTGCCACTATTGGTTTTCCTGCTTTCATACCTTTTGACACAGGAATGCGGGTGGGTGTAGGTCTCTGTGATGACCCATCCTGTCCTGTCTGCAGAAAGAGAGGAGAAAAATAAAATAATTTTAAGGATGACTTTTTTCTTAAATATATGCCAATTATACATTATGATTCATTATCTTTTATGTATTAATTTCTTTAAAAATTTTAAGTACACCTAGAAGGCACCTATCCAGTGCTCTGAACACCCATCTCAGGCATTAAAAGCCACAATGTAAACAAAGGATTGCCCATAAATCTCCACCTCACTCCATACTCTCCACAGCTGCCTCAACAGAGAGAAACAGAAGATGGATTTGAAAAGTTCACAAGTCAGGCCTCTAAACTAGAGGTAGCGCAGATAGCACCTTTAGGGACTGGTTCAATGAGGCACAGGCTTTCATAGAAAACAGCCTACTTCATCAGATACTACCTGACAAAGTAGGCTGTCTCCTATGAAAGCTTCTCTGAACTAGTCAGTCTTCAAGGTGCTACCCTGCCCTGCCTTCTCTCTGACTTCAGACAAACATGGATAACTACCTTTCTAAATTGGTTCTAGTGAACAGTGGCAGAGCCTGTGATCTCAAATAGAAAGCCTCTCCCAGAGAACACCCCATCAGCAGCTCCTTTTCCTTTATATTGCAGGTCTTTACAGCTTGAGGACCTTAGCTAATTTCAGCTATAGTGAAGAATATCACAGGGAGTAGAGAATCTCTCAGACAACCAAGTTTCAAACCTTCTATATTGTTAAATAAATAGTCACATTTAGAATCAGAAACCTCCTTTAAATGTTTGCTGTTTCTCTCTTTTGCAATAAATAATATTGACAATTGAACTGTCACAGTAAAGTTTCAAAATTAACTGCTTTGCTTCTCTTTAAGTAATCACTGAGCACATCTACATGAGATGTTTACTGTGGAGCTGCCTAACTAGCTCCATCGACAGTAAACATAAGTGTTTACACGTGGCGCCCTATTAAGCCACAGTAGATGTGACGGGCTAGTTGGCAGTGACCTAGTCCAGGGGTTTTGAAAAGGCAAAAGATGATTGGAGGACTTGGGATTCCCTTTCCTCACCAATCTGGTAATGATTTGGCCCAGGGGTTTTGAAGGGGTAAAAGATGATTGGAGGATTTGGGATTCCCTTTCTGCACCAATCAGGCCCCAGAGACTCACCCCCCTGTGTCCCTTGATTGGCCCCTTGGGTCACCTGGAGGGGGATAAAAGGGGCAGCGTGGGCTGATTCAGGACAGACCAGTGAGGGACAACAAGGAAGGAGCTTCACAGAGCTGAGCCAGTGGGGTAGGAGCAGTTGCCCCAGAAGAGCTGAAGGAGCAGGACCTGCAAGCAGCAGTGGGACCCTCAGCAGTGCAGCTGGCAGGAGAGGCTCCCCACTGGGCTCCAGGATCCCCTACAAGAGACTGCAGCCAGCAGGAGAGGCTCCCCAGCTCCAGCAGGGATCTGAGCAGTGACCTGAGAGGTTCCCATCTCTGCTTCCAGCTCCTCCAATCAGAGGCCAGGCAGCTTGATGTAAGGCTGGGGCTCCAGGAAGGTCAAAACCCCTAGCAGGCTAGAGTTGTGCTACTACTGGTGGCTGTGTAGCAATGTCTCTGTATACCATGTGGGAGATCTGAGTTCAAGTACCAGCTAAGGTCACTTGGGGTGAGTGAACTAAGGAGAAGCAAATTTCCTTGTAGTGGAAAGGGGCCATTGTGTGTCTTTCCCCCCCCATCCCCCCCCCCCCCACCCATTTCTCTTCCTCTAGGCCCTATATTTCCTTGTCATTTTACATTTTGTGCCTCTCTATTTCACCAACCCATATGGTTTGTTCTGCTGTCTGTGTTTTATATTTTATTAACCCTGTCTTTTGTCAATGATTGTAAGTGTCTAAACTTTATTGAATCCTGCCCCCTTGGGGCACTGTAGTGTCCACTATACCCTCTGATTTTTATACCGTTATGTTCCCAGTATTAAAAGGTATATGGATAAGTCCACATTGATGGTCTGGCTCTGCTTTATAGGGGGAGGAGAATCTCCACACCTCCCACAGTGCTTGTTCACCTGCTTTGACTCCTTCAGTTGGAGAGGGGGTACCTCTTGGAGTATCTCCCGGGTTACATAAATTAATAAATGCAGAGTTCTTCATGTTGAGTAACTCATGCTGACCTCCAACCCCTCCAGGGCTGATCTGACTCGGTTCAATGTGCTGCGGTCCCAAGCAAATGGCATACCCAGGAGCAGTAACTCTATTGTGATATGCGGCAGTCTATTGCTGCAAACTAATAACACGTATAGACATGCCCAATGGTAATCAGTTAGTGTCCTAATCCCACAATCTCAAAGCACCTTCACAGATGCTTGACATTCTTGAAGTCAACTGTCCTTGACTTCACCACTAAAACTTCCAGATCTAACAATTTC